AGAGGCTGCCTGAAGCAGAAAGGCAGCTGCCCCAGATGCCACACAGAGGTGGCTTTTCTCTGTCCCATCCCCATGACATCAGGGCTGTGTGTACCCTCACAGGTTCCCCAGGCTGCCCTGTCCTGCCCATTCCCATCCCTGTGGGCACTACCCAGCACCCCAACCCATCTCCTCCCTGTCTCCCCACAGGGGTGGGTTTGTCCATGTTAAAAACCCACACTTGGACTCGATGGAGGAGGACATCCTGTACCACTTGGACTTGGGAACGAAGACACACAACCTGCCAGCAATGTTTGGGGACATAAAGGTAAAGAGCAGGTGCAAAAGTGAGGCAGCAGTTTCCCCCCTCCACAGGCTCTCCAGTCCCATGTCCCATGGCCCTGCTGACCCATGCTGGGGCCCCACCGCTGCCGATGTTCCTTCCAGGACAGAGGCTGGCTGCTCAACAAGGGGACTCAACCACCCAGGGCAGCCTGGGCAGGGAGGTTGTTTGTCTTTGCTTGTTTTGGGCAGAAATCCCAACAGAAAATTACCCTTTTAGAAGCTCCATAAAACCTGATTTTATATTGGCCCCACATTGGAGGACAGACGGAGGAGGCATTTGTCCAAAGCATTTGATCATCATCTACTGGAGACAAGGGGAGGAGGATGTATTATTTTTGTCTGAGACTTGCTGTCAAAAGCCTGTCACGATGGCATCCACTTCCATTTCAACCCGGAGCCTTTCTCCAGCGGTGCAGGGGAAGAGCTGCAGTGTCCAGGGCTGGAGCAGCCTGGCACAGTCTCAGCACAGCCCTGCTCCCGTGGGCTCCTGCTGTCCTGCACCCTGGCAGCAGGATCAGCAGCCTTGCAGCCCTTGAAGCCAAATGCTCAACCCTCTCCTACCTTCAAGGACCGTTTTTTCCTTTAATATGTAAAATTTGTCCTTTTTCCTCCCTGACTTTACGGTCTCTGTGCCATCAGCAGTGCTCAGTCATTGCAGTCGGCACTGTCCATAGAATAAATTCAGCGAGAAGCTCCTCCAACCTCTGAGTTTGCTATGCTGTCAGTGGGGACAGTAACAGCCTAAATTTGCTGAGTTATTTGAGATTTTCTTGCCTGGGACGGATACCCAAGTTCATGCAGCTCTACGGCTGCCTGGACCCAGCATAGTCACCACCCTGATGGAGTGACAGCCTGGGTTTCGTGTTAATCCCTGGTTTTGGGACCCTCAGTTGTTCCGATGTCCCTTGACTGCTGGCGGGGAGCAGCATCCCGCTGCTTTCTCCGGGGAGACGCGTCTGGCGCAGCCACCACGGCCACATTCAGCCTGACTCTTCCTACCCATTTTAGCTCAGAAGTAGCAACATATTGCTATTTTATTTCCAGTTTGTCTGCGTGGGCGGCAGCCCCAACAGGATGAGGGCGTTCGCGCAGTTCATGCGGCGGGAGCTGGGCCTGGCGGGCGCCGGGGAGGAGCTGCCGGACATCTGCGCGGGGTCGGACCGCTACGCCATGTACCGGGCGGGGCCCGTGCTCTCCATCAGCGTGAGTTCGGGGCCGCTCCCCTCGGGGTCGCACCGCGGGGCTCACGGCAGCCGGACAGCAGGGTCCTGGGGACAGGACCTGTCTCTCCCACGCCTCCGCCTCCCCCAAGGCTCACTGGCAGATTTTTTCCCCCTTTTCAGTGTTCAGCCATTACCACCAGTGCAACCTCTCAGCCATGGCAAAGCTGCTTCTGTTTGAATCACATTCCTCGGCACCCTGCAGGCTCCGTTTGGAAAGTGCCGTATTAACAGACACACACATTCTGCTCAGCTTGGGTCTGGCAGTTTGAGAGGCAAAGACCACTTCCCACCATCCATGAACCATGACGTTGCTGGGAGCATTACATTGACACAAGCTCTAAAATAAAATCCTGCTTTATTATTAGTTACTCTTTCAGAGCAGGATTTTTGGCACTGCACAAAGGGAAAAGCAAACACAGGCTGTGTTTGGGAGAGTCCTGCTGTCATTTCTTTAGGCACAAGATTAGTCTGAAATGTGACTCACAGGAGATGGAGTCACTCACACGACAGCACTCACGTTTGGTCCCTCTGACAAAACCAAACCAATCCTGACCAAGGGAAAAGCCTGAGGGAATCAATCTGGTCAGATCCAAAGGGAAGAATCCCCACGAGATTCGCTGTTCCTCAGCCTGGCAGCAGCGGTGACACAGCCAGAAGCAAACCCTTGCTGAGCTCAAGGCTGTGCACCAGCACCATCTTTGGCCAGGGCAGAGCCCTCGGCCCGTCCCTGCAAGGGGACACAGGACAGAGCTCCGGCTGCCCCAGGATGATCGTGTGGAGCAGCTGCCAACATCACATTTCTGCAAGTTGCTTAGGAACACAACTGAGCTCAAACATACAGGGGCAGGAACACAGATTCCTGCTCTGAATATTTACAATGAAAATAAATTTTTTAGGCATTGGCAAATAACCCAGGCTGATGTTCCAGAATAACAACACGCAAAAAGGTTTCATATTTAAAACATGATACAAGGAGAACAGAGCACTGGTCTCACAGCCAACAGAAAGGAGATAAAACAACACAAATACTGGCTGCGTAAGTTAATTAATGGAGCTTCCATGTGTGCTTCCTTCAGGTTTTTGAACATGATAGCAAAACCTACAAAATGTGTGGCATTTTCCAGGGGAAAAAGCAAACCCCATGGCACCAAACACCTTTTGTTCTTAAAGGTTAAGCTGAGGAAAGGACATCAGTCTAGCAACAGAGCAGAAAAGAGATGACCAAGTGAGGGAGGGCTGGGCAGAAGCAGCTCCAGACCTGCAGAACATCTGCCAGCCCTGAGGAGCAGCAGCAGAGATGGGAACAGGGCAGCACTCTCCGTGGAGGATGGAAACTGGCCAGTGCCAGCAGTGGGGAGCTGGCAGCCAGGCAAGTGCTGGGGACAGAGGGACACCAGGGCAGAGGATGGAAGGGCAGGGCAGGAAGCAGGACAGGTGGCCTGCAAGGCACGCAGCAAATGCCTGACCCTGAAACCTGTCCTTACTGAGGGACACGAACCCTCCTGTCATCCTTGGTGCCCAGCAATGTGGCGGAGACGCTCTGGTGTGGGGCGAGGACAGGCTGGAAGGCACCTGGAGAAGTGGAGGCTCTGGTCGTCCTCACTGAAATTCACCACTCCCAGAGCACAAGCAAGACATGACAGAGTGTGAGCCAGCACATGGCATAAGGACAGCAGTGCAAGGGGAAGGTCTTGGAGCATTCAGCTGTTAGGACATGTTTGTGGAGACCTGTCTTGAAGGAGAGGCACCGTTTGTGCACCTGCACGGGGTCCCCAGGGATGAACACCTTCTCTACTGATGAGGAGAGCCTTTAAATCATCAAGGGGAGGAGAACAGGGTTGGTTAGACACTTCACCTGGACAGGCTACAAAGACCCTGAGATGTCTCTTCCCCCTCAAAAAAATCGCTGTTGTAATCACCAGGGGAAAAGGCCACAGCGTAACCCTGAGTTTGTGGCGGTCACGTACCTGTCCCCTGCCGCAGCCTCACAGGCACTGACATTTCTCTTTTCTCTCCTTCCAACAGCATGGGATGGGCATCCCTTCCATTTCCATCATGCTTCATGAGCTGATCAAACTGCTGCACCATGCAAAATGCCGGGACGTCACTATTATCCGCATCGGTACTTCGGGAGGCTTAGGTAAGCGATTCGTGGCCTTCCTTCAGAGCAAAACAGCTTTATCAAAAAAAAAATTCCAGCAATAGGTCACGCGGTTCTGAGCTTTAGCATTTTGTCAGGTCTCCAAATATCCGTGGTATCCTGGCTTGTGCCAGCACTGGTGTGGCAATAGGACCAGGGCAGTGACCGTTCCCTTGTGCTGGCACTGCTGAGGCACCTCCAATCCTGGGATCAGTTCTGGGCCCTCAAGACAGGAAAGATATTGAGGGGCTGGAGTGTGTCCAGAGAAGGGAATGGAGCTGGAGAAGGGGCTGGAGCACCAGGAGTGGCTGAGGGAGCCAAAGAGAAAAGGAGGCTTGGGGCTGACCCTCTCACTGTCTCCAACTCCCTGGCAGGAGGGTGCAGCCAGGGGGGAGGTCAGGCTGTGCTCCCAGAGAACAAGGGACAGGACAAAAGGAGGTGGCCTCAATTTGTGCCAGGGAGGTTTAAGTCGGATATTAGGGAAAAATTTCATTCTCCAAAGGGCTGTCTAGCCCTAGCACAGCTGCCCAGGGCAGTGGTGGAGTCCCCATCTTTGGAGGGATTTAAAAGCCACGTGGATGTGGCACTTAGGGACATGGGTTAGAGGTGGCCTTGGCAGTGCTGGGGAACAGTTGTACCTCATGATCTTATATGGCTTTTCTAACCCAAATAAATCTGTGATCTCTGGCCAGAGGAGTGTTGCAGCTCATGCCTGCACAAGCTGGTGGAGGGACATGATCTCTGCAAGCCAGCAGCAGTTAAAACCCTGTCCCTCAGCACACTCTCGCAATCACTCATCTTGTGCTGATTCTGTACATTTTACTTGTACATCTGTGCTACTGCATGAATTTCGATTATTCTCTGACATCTGCTTTACCCACCAAAAAGAACAGCCCCACAGTCCCACACAGCTGTATTGATATTTTCCTGTCATGGTGGAGTTTGGCAGCAGGTCACAGGTGTTCCGAGCTCTGGCTTAGCCTCAGTTTCCCTGTGCCCAGGGATCGAGGCCGGCTCTGTTGTGATCACGGACACGGCCGTGGACTCCTCGTTCCAGCCGCGCTTTGAGCAGGTGGTGCTGGGGGAGGTGGTGGTGCGGAGCACCGAGCTGGACAAGGACCTGGCAGAGGAGCTGCTTGCCTGCAGCAGGGAGATTGCAGACTTTCCCACACTCATCGGCCATACCATGTGCACCTATGACTTCTACGAAGGTAAAACCACCTCGGTCTGTCCTTCCTGCCCCAAACGTAACACCAAGTCTTTGCACTCTTACCTGGACAGAACTATCCACTGTCCCCAGGCCCCAGGAGGGTGGCAGGAACGGACCCGCCTGATGTGTGAGGGCCCAGGCAGAGCAGGGGCACCCTCAGAACACACAGTACCTCTGTTGGCACCTTGCTGAGTTTGCCACTGCACTGTTACCTACAGCAAGATTGTCACTTCAGAACTACCAACTCTAGGAAAATGTCAGGCTGCCTGTCAGATTTACATAAACAAACTTTGGTTACTCTAGAACCCTTTCCTCTGCAAAACTAAATGCTGGTTGCAGAGTAGATGAAATGTAATAAATGAAGAATTAATAATCTGAGCGCTATTTATAAATCCTTAGATCTGCTTGCAGATGCAGCCATCTGTGTATTGCTCAAGGCCATGTTTTATTTAAACAAAAAGCCATTTGAGATTATTAAAGTAGGAAAAGCAGTAAACTGAAGTGCTGTCCCAGGTTAGCCCAGCTGCAGGTAAGCATTTACCTTCACAGCTGAGGTGCACCACGGACCTCAGGAGTGGGGATGGCTTGTCCCCACAGAGCACAATATCCCCTGCACTTCACACCTGTGGGCTGACTTGGCCCTTTACCTGTGGTGAAACCTGCATCATTCTCCCCCCTGCACAGAGATGTGTCGTGCTGGCTTCAGCATCCAGGGGAATAGGAGTTAACAGCTACTCAAAGGAAAACTTCGTGGGCCTCCAACAGAACATGGGCACTGTTGGACTTTCTGTTTGCACCTATGCCCTGTGCCTGTGACCCTGCCCAGGCCCAACAGTGACACTTCTCTGCTTCCTTCCCAGGTCAGGGGAGATTAGATGGTGCACTGTGCTCCTTTTCCAGTGAAAAAAAGTTGGAGTACTTGAGAAGAGCTTATGACGCTGGTGTAAGGAACATTGAAATGGAGTCCACAGCATTCGCTGCCCTGTGTGGGCTGTGTGGTCTCAAAGGTGAGTCCTGCCAATTCTATCTCCTCCCTGCATCCCACTTAACCCCCCTCTAAGGGTTCTGTTTGGTGCCAGAAGGCCAAACACACATTCCTAACAATTTGAACTAGAAAAGGACACTAAAACAAACTTTGTAGCTCAATAAAACCCAAGGCCTGAGAACACATTGGACAAACCAAACCTTAATCCCCCCCCACTTCTCCTGGCCCTACAAACACATCCTGGCCATGCTGGTGCAGGCACCCCCAGGGTTTGCTGGAGCAGAGCCCGGGTGAGCGGAGGGTGGATGCAGAGCAGAGCCGTGGCCAGCAGCTCCCCGGGGTCCTGCCACATTGGCCCCTTCGCCATGAGCCCCGGGGAGGCAGGACCCTGCTCTATGCTGGGGGTGAAATGCAGGGTCAGGTGTGAGGTGACAGTGCTCCATCCATCCATCCATCCCTCCACACGTTCCACAGCTGCCGTTGTCTGCGTGGCGCTCCTGGACCGGCTGGAGGGGGACCAGATCCGGGCATCCCACGAGGTGCTGTGGGAGTACCAGCAGCGGCCCCAGCGCCTGATTGCCGCCTTCATCCGCCAGCGGCTGGGCCTGGGCCCCGCGGGCCGATCCCAGCACTGACCCCAGCACTGACCGCGGCACGGGCACGGCAGAGTCACACCGTGCACTGACCGCGGCACAGGCACAGCCTGCCACAGCACGGCCCCTGCTCTGGGAAACGGCAAAGAAACTCGGCCACGCCACACTCCCACGGCAGAGAGCCCTCCACAGCCGAGGGGAGCAGCCACACCCTACGGACACTGCTGTGCAGGCGCTGCAGGCCTCCAGCTCGGCTGCAATGGCTCCGACACACGTGCATGTCCAAGGACAGCTCCAACCTCCAACACAGCTGGAATGACACATATGCACACCCAAGGACAGCTCCAAGCTCCAACACAGCTAGAATGGCTCTGACACACATGCACACTCGAGGACAGCAGCTCTAGCCAAAATTTGCACAGAAAACAAGGCTGTGTTACTGAGCTGCAGGTTGTGTTACTGAGCTGCAGGTTCCTCACTCCCAGCTCCACTCACCGTAAAGGACTGTCCTGTTAAGGTCACTCCTGTCCACAGTGATCCTGTAGGAAGGAGATCCCTTTGCTTTGGGCATAAAGCCACAGCCTAAGTAAATGACATCCAAAATTAATCAGTACTTGTAACCATTATTGTTACTGCTGTTACAGAGGCTGTTCAGACTTTCATTCCTACAGTATTTAAAGATGTGACAAACTGGCAGGTGCCAGAGTTTAAGCATGAGAGGCCGTCTCTGGCTGAGCAGGAGCAGCTTGACCCCTGTCATAGGGTGGGCAGGTTTGGGCACAGAGACCCTTGTGAGGTAGTGGGATGAGGAGCACGTAGTGCTGACATAACCTTGACCTGATTTCACATAACTGCATCTGTTACATCCAGCAAATCATCTGCAAGTGTCTCCACAAGCTGGAAGAGACTGAACTGCACCTGGGTGGAGTGGAGGGGTTGTTCGCAGAGGGTCCCCTATAGCCTGAAGAATTCCCACAAAAACACTTTCAGTTCTTAAGGTTCACTAACAAGCTTGCTTCCAAATTAATTTGGAACAGTAACTTACAGGATACTTACAGGGAACTTGCAGGATAATTTACAGAAAGTGTTCAAGGCCAGGCTGGATGGGGCTTGGATCAGCCCGGCCTCGTGGAAGGGTGGGTGGAACTGAATGGGTTTTAAGGTCCCTTTCAACCCAGACCATTTTGGTATTCTCTGATATCATGAAAACTGGTGCCATGAAAAAGCAAATTCCACTTTATACAAGAAAAGGAGACTGGTTCCTGGTTTCCATTCCAAGATGGCTGTTTTTAGGCTCTAACATTAATATGACAGAGAAGAAATCCCAGGACAGGAGCCAGTGTCTTCCCAGAATAGAAACACATTCCTCCAGTCACTTACCATGCAATCCAACCTACTATTCCAACTCAGTTCTGCCAAGTTCAAAGTCTACTTCAGAAACTCCCATACTAACAGCAATGTACCTTCAAGCTCTTTGTGAAAGTAATTTAAAACCTCTCAAGGAAAAGGAATACTGGACTTGGATCTCAAAAGATTTTGCACCACTGAAATTATCTTTTAGATCTGCTTTTAAAGGCAAGGAAAAAAAATAATCAACTGCCATAGGTTTGGGATGATCCCTTTCTGGGAATTGTCCTGCAGCCAGTCTGTTCCTCACAGCAAAGCACTGCTGGTCTCCCCACAGGAACATCCAGCCAGTTGTGAGGCTGGTCAAGTGCGTTTTAAAAATAACAAGTTAGCCCAAAGGAGATACCAAAATAAAAAGCACAAATACACAGAGTTGTAATTTTAGCCCAAACTCACAGAAGCTGAGCCCAGACAACGCAGCTCCCACGGCTCAGGGCAGGCTCTGCAGCATTTCCCCACTAAATACCTCAGCTGCCATCCCGGGGTGATGCTGCTCCTGGCCCGGCCCTGTGCTCACTCGTGGGGGTCTGTCACACCAGCTGCCCCCCTCTGGCACCCACCTTGGGGTCTCCAGCAGGTCCCAACGCTGTGCCCTGAGTGCCCTGCTCGGGGCCGAGGCCGCGCTCAGGCTGGGAGGGCTTTGCCAGCAGAGTTCTCAGTCTGAGGGGTGAAAACTGGACACACCTGTCTCTGCAGAACTCGGATGTGACACACTGACACCTGTAAGGCATTACAGCACCACATTAATGAAGTTCCCATAATTGCCCAGAGACACAAGTGGGGATGTTCAGATCTTTCTGATATTCATCATCTTTAGAAATTTCTGGTCAAAGTGCTAATTTGTAACTTGTTTACAATCATTTTATGCTATCTTTATGTAAGGCTTGAAAACATAATCAATTACAAAAGGAAATAACATCAATTTCCCTTTCAGTTAATAGAATCATATTCAGTAATGTCAGCTCCAAAATAAAGATCCCAGCTCTAATTCTAATTTATAATTTATACTGAAAGACTAATCTGCAATATGAAATTGCATGACTGGCTTGCAGTAAATATGATGCAGCAAATTGGCTTCTAAATATAGACAAAGGTTTAAGTTTCTTCTTATAATAATCAAAGAATATTAGAAACATGCATGGTAATGAAGATTTTATAATTAAAAGATCAAATTCTCAAGAAACTTGGAATGAAAACTGTGGGATTTATTCATGTAATGTAATATAATCTAAAGTAACTGCAGTGCAAAGCTATTTTGGATTTCTGCTGCCAATTGAAACCCAAGAGTTCCTGCTCCAGGTGCTGCACATCAGACTGGCCTGTGCTGTGTGTAGGAGTCCTCATGTACAGGTGTCCCAGCTCCCAGTTAAAAGGGACATGGACACTGACACTTCACCAGCCCACCCCCAGCTCCCCAAACCTGCAGCAGGCACTGGCAGAAAGGCTCAGCAGGGTTTGAATGGCTGCACACACAGGGAACCGAGCAGTTCTATGACACAACCACAGGGAATTTATTAAAGGTCTGCACCCCTGAAGCTCCTCTGCTCCTGAGACAAGAGGTGGTCTACACTTCAAAAGCTGTAGATTCCATGTCTCTTCTTGGAAGCTTTGGTGGAGGAATTTTTGGCAAAATCTCTCTTGCATAAAGTGTTTTATGCAGTCCAGCTTCTCGGAGAGCGAGCTCGACACGGAGTCTGGGGTCAGAAATGACCTGGTAAAATAAACCACAGCGATGATCAACAGAAACCAAGCACCACCTTCCCCATACACCAGTGCATCTTACAGGGTATCTGTGGATGTATATGTTTAAAAAGCTTTCAGAAGACAGTCAGAAAATTATGGTCATAAAATAAAACCTTCAAAACAGAGAAGCTTTACAGTGAGCAAGCCTTATCTCACTGTCCATATCCTGATATTATCCTTTTGAATATTCATAATCACAATCACACAATATGATCACAAACCAATGAGCCCTGGTTGCCTTTCCTCAGCAAAACTGAGAGTGTAGGTGAGGAACCAAGTGACTTTTAATCCAGCTGCTCCCTGAGGAGCTGCTGCCTTTCCTTATGTTCCCTGTGCAACAGCCCTGAGTGTAGCATACAATCCAGTCCCTTCCTGGTTGTTCCTATGGAATCCAAGTGCTTCAAACGCCTTTATGACTTTTCTCACACTGTTGCCTTGTGCTTACATGGCAGTGCCACTTCCATTTGTCAGAATGACAATTAATCCCAGGGAAATTACTTCTGAAATTTGTCAGAAGGTTAGTTGACAAAATTTGTAAGCCTCTTTCTGGAGACATTGCCCCACCTGTCACTCCTGATGTTTTTATCTTACCCACATCATAGTCTGTATTCCACTGCCCGTGTTGCTATTTAGGATACACTGTTAAGACATCTGTGCCCACAATAGCTCACACAGGATCACAGCCACTTACCTGCTCCTCACTGTAGGTGTGCAGCCTGAACAGAGGCTGCTGCAGCTCAAACTCCTCGTTGGCTCCGATGCCCATCCGGGCCCTCGATGCCACCGTATCAGCCACTGCTCTGGCTGGGTCTGATTTTGCAACAACAGCAACCTGAAACACAGGACGCGAAAATAACATTCACTCTGTGTAGAGCCAAGGTGAGAACAGGCTTTTATCAGTAACACACCCTTTGAGAACATGATCATTCACTGCCTTTGCACTGTAACAGTGTGTAGGGTCCCAGCCTGGGCCCAACAGGGACGTGAGAGAAGCAACAGCACCCTGGGCTCTCCAGCAGAGCCTGACACGAGCTCCAGCGTCCCAAGACAGTCACCACAAAGACCCAGAACCTCACAATTCTGCAATACTCACAATTCCAGGAAGTCCAAACTTTCAGGTTGGTAGTTCCCAATTTTTACAGAGTCATGGGCAACAACATTGAGTGATATGCCCCAAATAACATAACTCTGGGTTTTTTGTGAAGTGCATCTGCTTTAACTGTGTAATTTCCTGGAGCTAGATCAGTATCAAAGACTCTCAGACACTGTATTGTGCCAGAATCAATCTTCTTTCATTGCTTACTTTCTTTGTGTTAAAACATTTAGATACAGGCTAATACTACTTTGGAAAAATACAGAAAGATGCATGAGCAAAATAATTAAAGTCAGAACCCTATATGAATGACTAAAAACAGGAAAAAACAGCTTAAATTTTGTATGATAATTTTTTTGCCTATCTCTTTAATGAAATGTCATCTTTGTATTTACAGCCTGCCAAAATCTACAGGTTGGCTGGATGACTTTACTAAAAAACCTTTTTCCCCCACATACAAAAAAGGCACATACTTTATGAATTCATTTCATTAGTGTGAAACAGAGAATAAATGTTGGTTAGAAAAGTGTAACAAAGTGGGAACTTCCCCATTCTGGGCAAAGGCTGTTCTAGAAGTGTTTTCTACTCTGGCAAGAGAATTGAGTCAGTGGGCAGAGCTCAACAGATCATGACTCCCAACCAGCCTCATGTAAAACCTGATGCAAATGATAATAAAACTCAACCAGGAACTTGGAAAAGATGTAAGAGAGTTATTATTAAAAATACTTTGATAACCTAAAATAACACTGCAAAATATGTAATTGAATCAGATTTTTAAAAATAAGGCAATACTGACTGGAAATGTGCTCAAGTTCAACAGTTTAAAAAACTACCGAAAGGATACCAAGGATCCCTGAGGTTTGTCTATTCTCGTTCTGCTCAGCTCTCCCACAGAAGGTGGCTCAGAGTATTTGGCCTCTGTGATATTTTATTTTCCTCCTGACTTTGCACACCCTACTACCAAGTGAAAGCACTTGTGAGGCCACCAACACCCCCTGAGGGATTAAGGAAGGGTTTCACAGGATGCACTGGGATGGTCCACTGAAGGGCAGGTCAAGGCTGCACCAAACATCAGATTTTTAACCAAGGGTAGTCCTGGGGAAAAAGCTGCTGCTTCAACGCTGTTTAAATTATCACAAATGAAAAAAAGGGGTTTGAAGAGCACCTTTTCCCCCTCCCTATTTTCCTTTGGCTCCTATAGTGTACAGAATGTGAACTCTAGGTTTTTCCTACTAATCTTCTGAGGAAAAAACAAGGAGATTAGATAGAAAAATGTAAATGAAAGTAAAATTACTCCTTCAAAAGTCAGCAGTAGAAAAAAACGACTACATTTACTAGCACTACATTTACTATGACATTAGCAAGCATTAGCATGCATTTTCTGGAATGTCCCTTAAGAAATAATGTGCAAAAGCTTCACGGAGTTAAATATCTCTGAAGAAAAGTCATCCAAGAAGTGTAAGCTTCCAGAATTTAAAAACAATCAAAATTACTTATAAATCTCGCCTAAGACTCAGGGAAGACTTAAGATTATTAAAATAAAAAAAATAAAAATCAAGGAAGAGAAATGACATCCAACCTAGAAAAACCCCTCTCTTTCTCCTTTTAGATACCAAAAGCTTCTACAGTGCAATTTAATGTCATAATGTACCTGTTGTCAGAGCCACAGAGCACGCAGGATTTATAACACAACAGAATTGCTGTTAGTCAGACCAGGAGTGCGTTTTAACTCATTCATTTATTTGCTTTGGAAAGATCGTTCCTTTTATCTCTCAGTGCTCTGACAGTGTTTGTACCCCTGTGTGTGAGATCACTGCAGCCCGGGCCGACCCACCTGCTGTCGGAGCATTTCCAGGCGCTTCTCTCTCTCCTCCTCTTCCCGGGCCTGGAGCAGGACCTGCTCCTTTCTCTCCAGCAGCCGCTTCTCCAGCAGCACCCGTCGGAATTGCACCCTGCCAGCACACAGAGGGAAACGCTGGGCAAGGGCAGCTTGAAATGTCTCTGTTGGTGTTTGTGTTGAAAACCACCCTGACGATTTCTATATCCACCCGATGTGCAAAACACCTCAGTGCAGAATGATTTTTCATTTGAATGTATTCTCTTTTTCGGAGTTTTTTGTTTGGGTTTTTGGGGGAAGAGGGGTTTAGGTAGTTATATTTTTTGATTTGCTTTTGAGTGGGTTTTAGTTGGTTGGTTGTTTTTTTGAACAACTTGGCTAACCTTTTAGATGTCTAGACTGCAGATTTTCTCTAGTGTGCTTTATATAGTCCTGGTACTCTTTTTTTCTCCCCCATTTTCTTTGCCAAGAAGAAATGTTCTCTCACATCTGTGTATGGCAGAAGAAATCTTTCCTATAACCCTTTCCATTAAAAGCAACATCTCACTCCCAATCTTGTTACTGGAAGGAGCAAGAAAACTTGAGAATTACACCCTTCTTCCAAAGGAAAAAGGTGGAGGTTCACACCAGAAACTCCAGAACTTTACCATTGTCCTGCTCCCCCTTTCACAGTAGGGGCAATATGCCCTACAGCACCAGCACAGACACATTCCCTGATGACCCTCAGGCCCCTGCCAGACTCTGTTCCTTATGGAGCTGTAGGTATTTGTTGGTACCTCACTTTTAGTCCTTAAACAGGAGTTGCCAATGCCATGCTTTGCATTTGGAGAGTTATCCTTCTTTTGCCCTTCAAATTTGAACTCGCCTCTAGAGAAATTGAGATGAATGAGCTGCTTCAACTACACTAAAACATGTATTGTTATTTTCTTACTCTCCAAATTTTAGTAAACTCAAAGGAGCTTACTACACTTATATGGCACACTTATAACTTGTGCCATAAACTGCAAAAATCAGAACTACACCTTCAGTTCTGTTGGTGGCTAGCAAAGACCTCTGTGCCAATAATCCAATCACAATTAGCAGGACAAACAAATTTGTCCCAAGAGGGTGGCAGGAAGCTGCCTGAGGGTGCCCCAGAGAGGCTTCCAGTTTCTCACTGTAGCCACTGCAGGAGGCCAGGCAGAGGAATGCTGCAGCAGTAGCCCTCAGGGGTCATTCTGTCCCAGAGGGAAAAGCCTAATCTGCTTTTTACATGGAGAAAATTTAATAAAAAGCAGATACTAATATTTCTCTGAAAAATGACAAAAATTACATT